ACTGCCTTCAGAGCTGCAATAATTAGGATATTGGTGTATAAACGTAATACATACAAAAAATAATCATTTTTTCATCTTTTCTATTTGACTTTCATCTAGCTTTCGTTTTATTACACATGAATTAATTATCATAGAATCTGATCGCCCCCTGATGAGAAATAATATTCAATCTAAATATTTAGATAACTCATAATTCGGGGTGTTACTGGAAAGAACTATTGGCCCCAGAAGGTACCCAGGTTTATGAATTTCAACAGTACTAGGATTATAAGTTTTAGGCATTAACATAAACCACTTGCACCATAGGTACACTTAAGAATTAGTAAAATGGATGCTGCTGAGAGAAGTGTTAGGCAGATAATCCTTATTTATAATAAATTCATAAGAACGTGAAGGAGGATGAATAGCTGTGACGCCTCGCAATGTGCTTGACGTAGGGTTAGATGAGTAGTAAGTAACACCAGTTAAATGAAATATAGTAAGAATTGGGTGAGTAGTTATATACAACCTAATTAATATGTATAATAGTTAAGGTAAACTCAAACAAATACTAATAGTAACACTCGCAGTAAGTCACAATAAGCTCTTGATATTAGTCTAAATATGCAAAGAACTACATAATATATTTCAAGAGTACTACGTATAGGGTTCCCCGAAGACCACTAGCCCTCGTCGTCTAGTGGATAATCCTTTGAAATTTGAAACGATGGGCGAACCGTTCGTGTCTCAGTGGGAACACACCATCAATCGCTGGGAATATAGATACACCCCGATGACGAGTCCCAAATAGGACGAAATGCGCATCCTACATTCCATTGGTGGTCACCATCAAACAGAAGCATACAAAGTTTGAGGTTACATTCTTTAAATACAGGAAAAATATGCTCTACAACAATCATATTTATTCTATGTAAAGTCAGAGAAGAATAAAATTTAAAAATGTTTCCTCAGAATTGCAGATTTTAGCTTAGCAGATCCTATTGCTACAAAATTTCAGCTAATAGAAGATAAGAGCAGATGAAGTATACGTGACAGAGTTTAGATGTACATGATGTATCATAATAAGTGACACATTAATGCTTACAAATACACATGGTAAGATAAAACTTTTGACAGATTACATATCATTACTCACAAACCCGACAAATATGTATTGTTTTCTATGTATGTCCACATTAAGTTTGTCAAAGAAAATTACAATTATTTATGGTTATTTTAACTAAACAGATGAAGATTGATAATACAAGTCAACAACATTAAGTGTTAATGAAATTAGGGTAGTAACAAAGGTGATGAGTTGTCACAAACAGTTGTTAAAAGAAGTTATCTAATGATAATATGAATAGTTTGATGATTGAGTTTTACTCAGGATACACATAGAAACAAAGTAGATAATACGAAACTATTTGCAATTGATAGTGTTCTCTGAGCTCCTTGGTTTAATTGCGGAGCTTTCATCGTCTTTCAGGACGACATCTTCAGCGCAGTATTTAGGAGCTCAGAGAACACTATCAATTGCAAATCGTCCACCTGAGTTACAAATCTTTTCTATTATTTCAATACGAAAATATGTAAGAGATCTAAGTGAGTACAAGAATTATAAGCAATTAAAGAACAGGCAAAGAAACAAAATTAAGTCATCAAAATAAAAGTTAAAAAGAAACAAATCAAAACATTGTTACCATGAGAGTAGAAGTGGTTCAGTAATCTTCTTTTGTATGCACAGCTCCGGTTTCCCCATGTGAATGGCCAGAGCGATACGAAGGAGACGAAACCGTATTGCCTTTGATAGGTTATTCTTGACTCTGTAGATTACTTTGAAGGAGGCGTTTGTTGACATGCAATGATCAGTATTAACCAAGTGTTCAATTATCGCACTCCTTATTGCACAGCTTATTGCCTTTTCGCAACCATGACGGATAGTGTTACAGAAAAAGGTTATTAAGTGGCACTAAATAATTGCTCAGTCAATGTACGTATATATGTGATAAAAGTTATAAGGGGTAGAGTTGAAGTGGATAAATTACAAAAATATTAAAGATTGTTCTATAACAAAAATATCAAGTGTTGTCTATAAATTTTGAAAATTAGGAGTACGATTACGATAAGAATGAAGATGTGAAGTGAGGTGGAAAGAATTCAAGTGGTAAAATAAAATAAAAACTAGAAAGAACATTATTATGACCAAGGTAAAGAAAGGGGTTTGAAAAAACGCTTTTGAACACATAATTTAGGTTTCTGTTCATGTATAGGTAAAGCTTCGGCTATGCATAAGTGAAGAAAACGTAACTTTTGGATACCTTGGGTACCTTTAGGGAGAAAGAGAGATCTTATTCATTCCTTATGCTCCAGAATTCGTAAAATCTGCTCTGCAGAGACAATCGATAGGGAACTAGATAATCTTCGATCAAATCTCCTTAACAATGGTTATCCCACAAGGTTCATTGAACGTAACATCAAGAAAGAATCCGCCCCGAGACAAGTCACAGTACCAAAGAAAAAGCTGTTTATGAGTCTTGCATTCAAAGGTGACACCATTTCAGAATTGATTAAAAATCGTTTATCTAAATGTATTAAACGCACTTTTCTTGCAGCTGACCTGCAACTAGTTTTTACCAGCCGAAATATGATCAGACAATGCGTCAAGGATAGATTACCGCTTTTGTCCACATCTGTGTGCATTTACTCTTTTACTTGCTCTTGTGGAGCTGTTTATATTGGACGTTGCAAGCGTAATCTCCGAAAACGTGTAGCTGAACACTATCCGGTTTGGTTAATGAAAGGCGAACGTAGAACTGCAAAGTCGTCTATTTGTGATCACCTGTTAGAGTCTGGTCATTTAGCCCCACGTGATTCATCTTTCAAAGTTATATACATGGCAAAATCGAATCGATCCAAAAGTTTACGTTTTCTTCACTTATGCATAGCCGAAGCTTTACCTATACATGAACAGAAACCTAAATTATGTGTTCAAAAGCGTTTTTTCAAACCCCTTTCTTTACCTTGGTCATAATAATGTTCTTTCTAGTTTTTATTTTATTTTACCACTTGAATTCTTTCCACCTCACTTCACATCTTCATTCTTATCGTAATCGTACTCCTAATTTTCAAAATTTTTAGACAACACTTGATATTTTTGTTATAGAACAATCTTTAATATTTTTGTAATTTATCCACTTCAACTCTACCCCTTATAACTTTTATCACATATATACGTACATTGACTGAGCAATTATTTAGTGCCACTTAATAAACCTTTTTCTGTAACACTATCCGTCATGGTTGCGAAAAGGCAATAAGCTGTGCAATAAGGAGTGCGATAATTGAACACTTGGTTAATACTGATCATTGCATGTCAACAAACGCCTCCTTCAAAGTAATCTACAGAGTCAAGAATAACCTATCAAAGGCAATACGGTTTCGTCTCCTTCGTATCGCTCTGGCCATTCACATGGGGAAACCGGAGCTGTGCATACAAAAGAAGATTACTGAACCACTTCTACTCTCATGGTAACAATGTTTTGATTTGTTTCTTTTTAACTTTTATTTTGATGACTTAATTTTGTTTCTTTGCCTGTTCTTTAATTGCTTATAATTCTTGTACTCACTTAGATCTCTTACATATTTTCGTATTGAAATAATAGAAAAGATTTGTAACTCAGGTGGACGATTTGCAATTGATAGTGTTCTCTGAGCTCCTAAATACTGCGCTGAAGATGTCGTCCTGAAAGACGATGAAAGCTCCGCAATTAAACCAAGGAGCTCAGAGAACACTATCAATTGCAAATAGTTTCGTATTATCTACTTTGTTTCTATGTGTATCCTGAGTAAAACTCAATCATCAAACTATTCATATTATCATTAGATAACTTCTTTTAACAACTGTTTGTGACAACTCATCACCTTTGTTACTACCCTAATTTCATTAACACGTAATTTTCTTGACTAATTTTGTATTACGTAACTCGATTTACCAATGTTCACCTGTTTAGTTAAAAGTAGCCTCAACCAATTGTAATCTTCTTTGACACTCCTAATGTACACATACATGCAAAACAATACACATATATTTGTGATTGTACAGCTAAGTCAATGAATTCGCCGAAAAGAGACTGTTCGCTGATCTACGTGTTTTGTTTTCATTAATGCCTGGATGGGGATTATCCATGAACAGACCAGAGAGACAAATGCTAGTTGACCTTAAGACGAACTTTCTTGAACATGCACTGTACATAATTAAAACTGCATCTATACACATACAAGACCATGAGCTAAAAATATGTAAATTATATCCTACTATAGCTGAAGACCTAACTGATAGATAACCATCGGGTAACGAAGGTGATACTGCTTCACACAAGAATTCTGTCTGTCTGTCTGTTTTCGACATAGAACTTTGCACAAATGCGCGGAAGTTCAAGTCGCCACATTCCGTGTAGCACGCGAAGCAAGAGAAGAAAGTACAAGAAAAGCATAATAGAAACAGTGAGCAGAGGTGTGAGACAAAGGAGTAATAAAGAAATACAAAACAGTTTCATTGAAGATCATAAGTCACAGGGAGTGGATGCATCTGCGCCACTGAGAACGGTTTTGAGCCATGTCACCAATTGTTTCCAACCATAGATTTTTACCGTCCCGAGGACCCCAGCCTGGAAGTCTACACCTTTCTACGTGGCTTAGACCAACTGTTGTGGATTTCATTGACTGATTCCAAGGTTTTGTTTGATCGCCGCTAGCTTTTTTCCAGTCTGACCCTATATCCGCTAACATTGCTCGTCGAGGGAGGCGATGACTTGGCATACGTAACACATGTCCTAACCATCTCAGTCGATGTAGCTTCACGACTTCGTCGATTGATTTCCCCTGTTTACCTAGAACTCTACGCCTAACCTCAATGTTGCTCACCTTATTATGCCACTTAAATCAAAACTAATGAGTACAAAACAAGGCTAAGCTTAAGGCAAAAATTAATTCTTGCATTATAAACCATATACACTTACTTGTACCATGGAATAATTACGAATACAGATGAAGCATGCCATAAGGCATGTGAATCAAACGTCCAAACAATAGGTACAAAATCCCATAATTCCAATAACATAAACAATGATAGAGATGTTACAGATAACCAACAGTAAATCACATAGGGTTGCTTTTTATAATCACAAATGTACATGGAAAAGAATAACCAACTGAAACAATTGATAACACCTATTTAAATAAATAAATAAATGAAAATAGATATAAATTTATTAAGTTTGAGTACATCTTAAGATGCTTATATGATGGCTAGAAGAAAGCTTTAAAACTAAATTAATTTACTTTATTCCAATGTGAAGTCAGTGCTACCTACTACACGGATCAGAGACTTGGCGAGTCATAAAGAGCATCTCAAACAAACTTCAAACCTTCATTAACAGCTGTCTCCGCTCAATACTCAAGATCAGATGGCCAGAAAAGATCAGCAACAGGGATCTCTGGGAGCGAACCAATCAGGAACCGATTGTGAAACAAATAGGCAGGAAGAAATGGAGATGGATTGACCATACGCTGAGGAAACCATCAAGTGACATCACTAGACAAGCCATCGCTCGAGTGGAACCCGAAAGGGAGGCGGCGAGTTGGTCGTCCAAGGGTGACTTGGAGGAGGTCATGCGAGGAGGAGATGAAAGCATGTGGACAGACCTGGAGCGGGGTGAAAAAGTTGTCAGAAAACCGAAGTCAATGGAGGTGCGCAGCTGAAGCCCTATGTTCCTCTAGGAACTAAAGGATACAATAATAATAATAATAATTCCAAAAATTCAATTCCTTTTCATCATATATTCTAAGATGTATAGAATGAAAATTAACCATACTCATAACTGTAGACACCTTTAGATAAACAATACAACACTGTAGAATTTTCATCTAGAATATTGAGCACATTGTAATATTGAGTGTAAATCTGTGTCCATTTAACAAGTCTTAGACAATAAATTACTGTAACCGTGTATCCCAGGCGAAATGAGTTCCCAGCTGTCACACCGAGTAGATAACAATGTTAGACAAGCAACCTAAATTTTTACTCAATTACACAATCAGCTTCAACTTATCCATTTGTATTAATCTGTCCATCTATCTTCTAGTTACGATACAATTCACATTTCTTCAATTTTCACAAACCAAGTTAATAACGATTTCATAAATATGTAACCTTTTAAAAATATACTATGTTTAATTCAATTTAGACTTTCGCATCGATTGATTGGACCGAAGTGCTAGGTCTCACTCAGGTTAACAAGTAGGCTTCTTGTGCAGATGCCTCAATGGGAACACCATCATTCACTACTGCGAAATCCAAGTACATCCAGCCGACAAGTCTCAAATAGGACGAAATCTGCATCCTGGATTCCACTGCTAGTCACCATCAACCAATTATACTACGTTTAGTTTACATAACTCCCTTAAACACTATAGGGTTCCATTCATTTAGGAGTGTGTGTATGAAATGTCAAAACTATGATAATTTTTAGAATTATCTCAATTGCTAACATACGATTAACATGTTTCAAGTAACCTAGAACACACCTTGAATACAGTTACTTTATGATTCTACATAAGTATTAAGAGATAACAATCAGTGTAGTATCATACAAGCTACACTCAAAAGTTTGTACACTAGTTTGTAGGCCGAAAATATAATCTACTTCCTAGGTATCAAACAATCTGTAGATAAAGTGATAACTGAGCATATGGTCTATAATTTCAGAATGACACGAATTAGTCACAAATCCATGACTACTATAATAATCTTTTAATTAAAGGATAATAAACATAAGTATTTTATAGACGGGCAAAAATATTTAACAAAAACTCTAAGTAGTAAAATAGGTATACTACAAAGTTTGCAACTAATCGAAAAAACACAAAGGAAAATAAGCAGCCCATGACAAAACGTGTTGCATTAAAAAATACTGAAACATGAGATAAGTCATGTATCACTAAACTACCGATATGCACTAATGGACAAGTAGCAGTACACTACTAAAGGAAGTTTTGATTGATCTGCCGAGGAGGAAGTATGGAAATATGACACAAAATGGTCGTATGTACGATGAAACTGCCAGGTAAGTTCTGTTCACTGCCTTCAAGTGGCGAGGGTGTTTCTCACAAAAGTGAAAGGGCGAATGCGGACATCTGGTGCTTAAAACCCGAGTGATGGACAAGTTGGTCTACCTAGACCACTTCCAGACCAATCATATGTGTGTGTGTGGGCTCCAGAATCAAAACCGGATCAAATGGCATATGAATCTGTTTCGAGCACCGAGAACCGTAGAAACGCAGTCCCACTACCTCGTGGATGGGTTGAAGAATAGGGAAATGGTCGCTAATGACAACCACCAACTTCACTTTCTTCTTCGATTAAAGCAAAAGTAAGGATGGGTACCTGGAATGTTCGCACAATGTACGAAACTGGAAAGGCTGCCCAGATAGCCGCTGAAATGAGAAGGTACAGAATAGAAGTGTTGGGAATCTGCGAGAGCAGATGGAACGGAACTGGAAGGTGCCAACTACCTACTGGAGAGACAGTAATCTATTCCGGCCACCTAGAGGACAACCATGAGCACACCGAGGGAGTGGCCATCATGATGTCACCAACAGCAGCCAAAGCTCTCATGCAGTGGGAACCAATCTCCTCCAGGATAATGACAGCCAGGTTCAACTCAAAAGGAAGGAAAGTTACAGTCATTCAATGCTATGCGCCTACAAACGTCTCAGAACAAGAGAAGAAGGAGGCGTTCTACAGACAACTACAAGCAATAATGGACAACGTCCCAAATGGCGATATCAAAATCCTGATGGGCGACATGAATGCGAAGCTGGGAGGAGACAACACAGGAAGAGAACTCACCATGGGTCGTGAGGCCCTCGGTGAAATGAACGACAATGGTGAACTCTTCTCAGACTTCTGCGCCTTCAATGATTTGGTGATTGGTGGCAGTGTGTTCAAACACAAGGATATACACAAGACGACATGGATTTCACCAGATGGAAACACCAAGAATCAAATAGACTTCATCTCAATTTCAAGAAAGTGGAGACGGAGCCTACTGGACACAAGGTCAAGGAGAGGAGCAGATGTGGGTTCAGACCACTATCTAGTAGAAGGGACTTTCAAGGTGAAACTAAAAGCCTCGAGGATAGCTGGGGATAGGCCACAATGCAAGTTCAACACTCAATTACTGAAGGACACAACCACAAAAGACACCTTCACTGCAACTGTCAGAGCAAAGCAGGAAACACTACGCGACATCACTGAAGAATCATGCGTGGAAGAACATTGGAAGTCTCTGAAGGCGATTCTCAACGAAACGTGTTCAACGGTTCTAGGAAGAAAGAAGAGACAAGACAAGGAATGGCTCTCAACGGACACTTGGAAATTAATAGAAGAGAGGAGAATGGTGAAAGAGAAAATGATTCAATGCAAGGACGGACAGGAGAAGGAGACGATGAGCTCAACTTACAAAGCATTGGACAAAGAAGTGAAGAAAAGTGCTAGGAAGGACAAAAGACGATTCTACGACAATCTAGCTACTGAAGCTGAAAAGGCAGCAGGCAAAAGGGACCTGAGGACACTATATCAGATAACCAAATCTCTATCCGGGAAGAGACCAACACAAGCGAAACCTATAAAAGACAGCCAAGGGAACCCATTACCAAGGAAGAAAAACAGATTAAACAATGGGCGGATCACTTCAAAGGACTCTTGAACCGACCATCACCTGCAACCCGTCCAGAAATACCAACAACAACGCGCACACAACTGCAAGTTGACACCAATCCTCCAACGAGAGCTGAAGTCTTGAATGCAATCAAGCTTCTGAAAGCTGGAAAAGCAGCCGGACCAGATGGAATACCCCCTGAAGCACTGAAAGCAGACCCAGAGACTACAGCAGACATGCTGACTCCATTATTGCAAAAGGTCTGGAAGGAGGGAAAGGTGCCTACTGACTGGAGGAAAGGTTACCTCGTGAAACTACCAAAGAAGGGCGACTTACGGCTCACTCTGCAAGAACTGGCGAGGAATCATGCTCCTATCGACGCCAAGTAAAATCCTGAGTCGCATCATCCTGGAGAGATTAAAGGACGCACTGGAGACAGAACTCCGACCAGAACAAGCTGGATTCAGGAAAGGCAAATCATGTACTGACCAAATTGCAACTCTACGCATCATCATCGAACAAAGCATGGAATGGCAATCAAACCTCTACCTCAACTTTATAGACTTTGAGAAGGCCTTCGACAGCGTTGATCGTGAAGTAATTTGGAAATTACTCGAGTACTATGGCGTACCCCAAATATTCATCAACCTTATTCAACAGCTGTACGACAACGGCACATGTCAAGTGATCCACAACGGAAGACTCAGCGAGGCGTTTGGAGTAAACACAGGAGTCAGACAAGGGTGCTTACTATCACCAATGATATTCCTAATTGTGGTGGACTGGATTATGCGTCAGACAGTGGGAAACGAGAAGACAGGAATATCCTGGACCGACGTGAAGAACCTAGAAGACCTGGATTTCGCGGATGACTTATGTTTGATGTCACACACAATCGAAGACTTACAAGCGAAAACCGACAAACTGGTCGAAGAAGCAGCAAAGACAGGACTCCAGGTAAACATAGACAAGACGGAGGTTATGAAAATAACCAACCAACAACAGCAACAACATCCAACGTCAATCACCATCAACGGGAGGGATTTGAAAGAGGTTACTTCATTCACTTATCTAGGGAGCATTGTCTCAACTACAGGAGGAGCGGACGAGGATGTCAAATCGAGCGAGAATCGGGAAGGCGAGAAACACATTCATCAGCCTGAAATCAATCTGGAAATCTTCGTCACTCAGCATCACCAACAAAATTCGGATTTTCAATACAAACGTAAAGTCAGTTCTTCTATACGGATCAGAAACTTGGCGGGTCACAAAGAATATTTCCAAAAGGCTGCAGACCTTTATTAACAACTGTCTTCGCTCAATACTGAAGATTAGATGGCTGGAAAGAATCTGTCTGTCTGTCTGTTTTCGACATAGAACTTTGCACAAATGTGCGGAAGTTCAAGTCGCCACATTCCGTGTAGCACGCGAAGCAAGAGAAGAAAGTACAAGAAAAGCATAACAGAAACAGTGAGCAGAGGTGTGAGACAAAGGAGTAATAAAGAAATACAAAACAGTTTCATTGAAGATCATAAGTCACAGGGAGTGGATGCATCTGCGCCGCTGAGAACGGTTTTGAGCCATGTCACCAATTGTTTCCAACCATAGATTTTTACCGTCCCGAGGACCCCAGCCTGGAAGTCTACACCTTCCTACGTGGCTTAGACCAACTGTTGTGGATTTCATTGACTGATGCCAAGGTTTTGTTTGACCACCGCTAGCTTTTTTCCAGTCTGACCCTATATCCGCTAACATTGCTCGTCGAGGGAGGCGATGGCTTGGCATACGTAACACATGTCCTAACCATCTCAGTCGATGTAGCTTCACGACTTCGTCGATTGATTTCCCCTGTTTACCTAGAACTCTACGCCTAACCTCCATGTTGCTCACCTTATTATGCCACTTTACACGGGAAATAGAACGCAGGCACCTATGATCAAAGACAGCTAGTCTTTTCATGTCTTCCACTCTGAGTGGCCAGGTCTCACAACCATACAGGAGGACGGAGGGGACTGATGAGCAGTACACCCGCCCTTTGGTCGATAGTCGAACATCTCGTCTACGCCAGAGTCAGCGTAAACTAGCAAATGCGAAACGAGCCCCTTGTATTCGTGCTGAGATTTCGTCAGAGAAAGAATCACCAACAAGGAATTATGGGGACAGACAAAGCAAGAACCAATCGCCCAACAAATATGCAGGAGAAAGTGGAGATGGATCGGACACTCACTGAGGAGACCGCTGGGTGACATCGCGCGCCAAGCCCTCGAGTGGAACCCGAAAGGGAAGCGGCGTGTGGGACGCCCAAGGGTGACATGGAGGAGATCGTGTGAAGAGGATTTGAAAGAAGATGGATTAACATGGATGCAGGCGAAAAGTATAGCAGAAGACAGAAGAAAATGGAGACGTGCAGTTGAAGCCCTATGTTCCACTAGGAACCCAAGGGAGCAATAATAATAATAAATAATAAACTTCACTTTTGGAGTCCGGGTAGCATCTGAGTCATCGCACAAACTATGAGATTGTATGTGGTGCATCCTTTGGTGTCCATATTGTACCAGGCCTATGTTTCAATAACGACAAGAATGAAACTGCCGGATTTTCTTCAGCTTATATTTGTATACTCCCACATACTCTTCGTATGGCGTTGTGTACTGTTAAACTAAGGAACATTTAATTGTAAAATGTATTCTATTCATAAGAAACTTACCGAATGAAATATTAACTGTCATATTGTAACCATAGTCAAAACTAACATAGGTCATGTAATTTACATGATTTGCAAAGAATGCAAGTAGACCGGAAGAAAACAGCACTGTCACTAGTCGATTAGGATTAAAAATCCTCTGATGTACTGCCATAAATGAGGCGATCACAAATGCCAATGCACTAAAATAATCCATTTTCTGCAGAACAGTAGAGTGTTTTAGTAAGAATTTAGCTTACCTCAGTGAATGATGTATCCCTTGTATGAAACACTATAGACCATATCCATGCGTTTACAGAAAACTGCAGTGAGAATTGTATTAAAGTTATGGAACTTACTAGAGTTTGTACAACCCATGTTTTATACATAGGAGCATTGAATGGAACACATTTGTAAAATCGACAAAACATGAAGCAGATAAATATAAGGTTTACGAAAGAAAAGACGGCAGAGGCAGGTTCTTGTATACCCCATAGTCGTACAAATGGCCACTAATAAAACGTTATTAAATATACAAAAAACGAAACAGTTAACTCACCTTTCCATTGAATTGTGGAACAGGTAAACCATCTTTTTCGAATGCGGAAACAGTGTTCCACATACAACGATATTTACACTCTGATTTACAATCCCAGAGAATAGTGTGTTCAAAAACGACAGACTGTGAAGAGTTGAAATATTCATCCCAATAGTTTTGTTTATTTGACAGCAGAGAAGATTCACAAATTTCGTTTAAACAATTCTTACTGCATTTATGAAATACATATGACCGATCTCCTACTGAAGTGATTGCAGGAGGTAGGATAAACGATAAAACGAAGAGGCATACAGGAACCACACCAAGATATAAATTAGACATGTCGAAGTTGGCTTATGTGTTAAACAAATTAATTTACATTATCTTCTGAAGAAATCATCATGGTAAGAGAAGTGATATTTCCACCGAGTAAATTTATCCTCAAAACTTCAACTTAGCATTCCCAGTTGGAAGTGACCTTTAAGAAAGGATAAGAGAGGTAGATTTTTTTATATTTTTACCACGACAGGAGTTTTAACAAAATTGGTGGGACAACTGTCAGGTGATTTGTACTGTACTGTAGAAAATAGATACGGATTCACAAGGCTGATGTTCGTTTGTCGTCATAAAAACAAAACATCTAGAAACTAATGGATTACATTGAGTCACCTTCTAATTTTACTATATTTTAACATCCGAAGCTAATACTTTTGACTAGAGTGCACATTTAACCTTTGAAAAACGGTTGTGAGCCTTGTTTACTGGTGACCCTTCACCGATACCGTCACTGCTGAGGACCCAGTGGGAATAGACTATTCACTTATCAGGATATGAGTTACACTTATTGTGAGTAGGCTAGTGATGCAACTCATTCCTCTGATTGAAGTGAGTGAAGCGGGATTTGATTTAGGGATTCATAGAATGAAAATATGGAGACAAGGTAACTTACGTGTAAATAAATGCTTCGCATTTTCAAGTGATTACTGTCCCAGTATATTCACTACTTTAAGTAAAAGTGTAGTGAATACTCAGATCTCTGAAAGTAAGCACTTCAAAGTATATTTCTATATGGCTCTAGAAGCTGACTAAACTGTCATATAGATCAAGCTCTTCCGCTGTGGAACATATTGGAGAAGGACGGCATTAAGTGGACGTTAATACGTCTATCTGTAAGACCAGTTAGAGGTGTATCCTAGAGCTTGAGGATGACACAGTGGTTACTCAGTTAACGTCAACTTTATGTATTAACGAACACTGTCACTAAAATAAACCTTCCGTAGTAAACGCTGTTTTGAAACAGATATATATATATATATATATATATATATATATATATATATATATATACCCTTTTTTGTTTATTGGTCTTCATCATACCCAAATAAATTACGATTTTTTATTGGTTTGCATACAAAAGAACTAAATATTTTAAATTCAGAAGAAAAATAATCATAGTGAGCAGCTGTTTCCAATTTATCTTTCTTCAGGTACTACACTTACAAATCCATTAATTTTAGCATACAACAGTCAGTTATTTATGACTATCACTTAGAATATATATTTAATGTCAATAGGAACATGAAAAAAATAATTAAATGACATATGTATATATATATATATATATATATATATATATATATATATATATATATATATATTCAAGTATTGGTTTTGTAGAGATTTTGTTTGATTGGATGGAGGATTTCATCATGAGCTGACATCAGTAAGAGAACCACTGGAAAACCCGCAGGGAGTACTGGACAGCTGATTCGTCCCACCGATTTGGGACTCCTCAGGAGTACGTATCCACCACGAGGGTTCAAACCCACGACCTTCTGGTTACAAGGCGAGCTTGTAGACCATTAAAACACTGGGACCCGATCCAATGGCCAGTGCATGAATTCAAACTTCTGCCAACTAACGACATAGCGCGACTATTTCGCTGTGTCTTCTTCGATGAATTAGTGCCTCACCTTCAACCTGCTGTGCCCTACTGGTCGCGGCTTCCCACTAGAACATCACATCACTGCCTAAATAGAGCTTGTCGCTAGTGAGCTTCAGACTAGTTCTCAAGTATTGGTTTTGTGGGGATTTTGTTTGATTGGATGAAGGATTTCATCATGAGCTGATATCAGTTAGAGATGTGTTGAAGATGAGGCTCTAACTGATCGAAGAAGACAGCGAAATGGTCTCGCTATGTCGTGAATTGGCAGAAGTTTGAATTCATGCAATGGCCATTGGATCCGGTGCCAGTGGCTCAATGGTCTACGAGCTCGTCTGGTAACCAGAAGGTCCTGGGTTCGAACCCTCGTGGTGGATACGTACTCCTGAGGAGTCCCAAATCGGTGGGACGAATCAGCTGTCCAGTACTCCCTGCAGGTTTTCCAGTGGTTCTCTTACTGATGTCAGCTCATGATGAAATCCTCCATCCAATCAAACAAAATCTCTATTAAAACCAATACTTGAATATATATATATATATATATATATAGTCAGTGATTTGAGAAAACATTAATAATTTAGATAAATTCTAAAACAAGATAATATACTTTTGCCATTAACGGGCACGAGAGAACAACTGCTAATTTTTTTCGCTTCCAAGTGGATTGAATTCAAAGCATTGAGTTTGCAAGACATTCTCTTTGAAAAACTACCTACCTCAGTCCCAACATTTTAAAAGTACTGATCTCTCATATTAACATCATGCTGCTGGTTTATTGAAGCCAGGACAGTAAAAAAAAAAGTTGTGGCTAAAAAAATAAATAACAAGTCCCTATTTCATGCAACTTTCGAAAACTATTTTACAGTGAAATCGTTTAAGTGGATACATCAAACATGACTGTGGTCGTGAATTTAAGCATCACACACCTAGATTGCTTTCTAAAATGTTTCGCTTTGTACTACCCATAAGAATGTTAGGAAGAATAATTTCGTTATATTACTAAGCTGGAGGATGAAAAATACCTACGCCGTATACGAAACAAGTGAAAACTAAATTCAGCCACAGTTTCTAAGATTTTCCACAGTTAACTAGCCCATACTAATCAGTTAAGTACAATCCATATAATCTTGCAACTGTACTGAATATTACCCAAATAATGTTGCTGTTATTGTAACAGTAGTAGTTATTTGGCAATTATCCACATGCATTCACTTTGTAATGAGTCCACCTTTTGTGAAAGCTGGTGATACCCAACTTTCCCAAGTTAACAAAACAGGTGTAGTAAGATTCAAACTAGTAACAAAATAAACAACTGAATGTCGAACATCTAAACCACAACAGTCAGATCTAAACAGTCCATAATAATAATAATAATTCGAATGAATACGACAAAATATGAAAATTGAGGACATAAATATTCGTTTGAGATGTGTTGCATTGAAGCAAAACAGAAAGAACAATAACGCTAAAAAACTAGATAACTGTGACAAACAAATGTAGAGCAGTAAAATGCCTGAACAGAATGAATGTATAAACATACTGGAAAATACGAAATTAAGATTAAACTCAAGAAAATATGCAGGAAAGAGAATAATGAGGAGTTAGTGATTATGGAAGACCATAAGGGGTCAAAGCGATTTTCAGTCGTGTCACCACCAGCTCCCAATGTTTGATTCTCGGCAGACAACGTCCACCAGCCAAAGAAACTACACGTATGCGGGACAAACCAAAAGTCAGAGGCTTCATAACCTGGTGACATGTTTTCGTCTCTCCACTCAAATAATTTTCCAACCTAACCATATAGGAAGTAAAATTGCTCTCACAATAACAATGATCTTTTGAAACACATCAGTATGTTTAATTCTAAATGGTACAAAGGTTGACTTGTTAGACACCATAAAACAAGTCATGTCACTAAAATAAACCTTCCGTAGTAAACGCTGTTTTGAAACAGATATATATATATATATATATATACCCTTTTTTGTTTATTGGTCTTCATCATACCCAAATAAATTACGATTTTTTATTGGTTTGCATACAAAAGAACTAAATATTTTAAATTCAGAAGAAAAATAATCATAGTGAGCAGCTGTTTCCAATTTATCTTTCTTCAGGTACTACACTTACAAATCCATTAATTTTAGCATACAACAGTCAGTTATTTATGACTATCACTTAGAATATATATTTAATGTCAATAGGAACATGAAAAAAATAATTAAATGACATATGTATATATATATATATATATATATATATATATATATATATATATATATATATATATATATATATATATATATATATATATATATATATATATATATTCAAGTATTGGTTTTGTAGAGATTTTGTTTGATTGGATGGAGGATTTCATCATGAGCTGACATCAGTAAGAGAACCACTGGAAAACCCGCAGGGAGTACTGGACAGCTGATTCGTCCCACCGATTTGGGACTCCTCAGGAGTACGTATCCACCACGAGGGTTCAAACCCACGACCTTCTGGTTACAAGGCGAGCTTGTAGACCATTAAAACACTGGGACCCGATCCAATGGCCAGTGCATGAATTCAAACTTCTGCCAACTAACGACATAGCGCGACTATTTCGCTGTGTCTTCTTCGATGAATTAGTGCCTCACCTTCAACCTGCTGTGCCCTACTGGTCGCGGCTTCCCACTAGAACATCACATCACTGCCTAAATAGAGCTTGTCGCTAGTGAGCTTCAGACTAGTTCTCAAGTATTGGTTTTGTGGGGATTTTGTTTGATTGGATGAAGGATTTCATCATGAGCTGATATCAGTTAGAGATGTGTTGAAGATGAGGCTCTAACTGATCGAAGAAGACAGCGAAATGGTCGCGCTATGTCGTGAATTGGCAGAAGTTTGAATTCATGCAATGGCCATTGGATCCGGTGCCAGTGGCTCAATGGTCTACGAGCTCGTCTGGTAACCAGAAGGTCCTGGGTTCGAACCCTCGTGGTGGATACGTACTCCTGAGGAGTCCCAAATCGGTGGGACGAATCAGCTGTCCAGTACTCCCTGCAGGTTTTCCAGTGGTTCTCTTACTGATGTCAGCTCATGATGAAATCCTCCATCCAATCAAACAAAATCTCTATTAAAACCAATACTTGAATATATATATATATATATATATATATAGTCAGTGATTTGAGAAAACATTAATAATTTAGATAAATTCTAAAACAAGATAATATACTTTTGCCATTAACGGGCACGAGAGAACAACTGCTAATTTTTTTCGCTTCCAAGTGGATTGAATTCAAAGCATTGAGTTTGCAAGACATTCTCTTTGAAAAACTACCTACCTCAGTCCCAACATTTTAAAAGTACTGATCTCTCATATTAACATCATGCTGCTGGTTTATTGAAGCCA